TATTCAATTTCTTACTTTTTATTCATTCAGCTTCGTGCTAATTTACTTTTTACTTTTTTTTAAAAATGCTGAACAGCAATCTTACGGTTGAAGATCCAGAAGCCCAACAACTAATAGACCTCTCATTTGTCGCAAATACTGAGAAAAACACCTCAAAGTAGTTATGGCATGTTGATCATTATAGAACTAAAAAAAAGATTACAAAGACTTTAGACGAATTTGATGACAAAGAGGAGTTTGATTTATTCCTATACTCGTTTATAAGTTGGCTTACAAAGAAAAATGTTACACCTTTTAAGGTTGAGTTAATCCATAATTGCTATGCTGTACTGGCAAGGTACCTTTATAAGAATTCTTGTATTGATGATAGAATTTGACTCTGAGATAAGTATTTATTTCCAAGGGCACTTAGATATTTGGATGGGAAAATGAAGTCTTTGCAGAATAATAGCTATGGTGATACGTCAAAGAGTGACTCTTTAACGTCAGAAGAAATTATATCATGTTTAAATAATCAATTCTTATTAGTTGATAATAATAAAAGTTTAATCAGAAGGGTGTTTTTTTGGTTGTCGTTATTGTGTAGATTAAGAGGAGGTAATATGTATAGGTTAGAATACTGTGATCTTGAAAGATGAAGCAATGGTGGTTTTCAATTAAGGTTTCACAAAGAAAAAAATAACCAAGATGAGGTGCTCTATTAGCAATGCTATGGTTACACTAAAACATGATTTGTTCCAATCCTACCTGATCGTATTGATAATCAGTTTACACCTGTCAAAGATCTTTTTCTTTATTTATCAAAATGTCCTGTTAATTGTAAATCAGGGGCTTTATTTTTACAGTGCACAAGATAACAGACGAGCAATTATGGGCTTTGGTTATTGTTTTTTTTTAACGATTTAAAATCAAATTCTAATTTTTTTTACTTGCTTTTTTAGAAATTAAAAATAGTATTTGGTATAAAGGAACCCAGATGGGTGAGAACAAACTAAAGATGATGATGCAACAGATTATAATCAATATGAGAATTGATCTTGGAAGAAGAAAAATTACGAATTATAGTGGTCGACGTACAGCAATTATGATATTAAAGGCTTTTGATGTTTCTAAGAATGAAGCCATGATATTTTCAGAACATCATTCATGTGAAGGCATTCGAGCATATAGCAGCCCAACAGATGACCAACAACTATTATCAACAGCATTGTTGATTCTCTATGCATTTTATAATGAAGATTTTGAATTTTACTATTCTTTTCTAGGGGATTCTTATGTTGATTACAAATCTGATAAAATTGATGAAGTGGGTTAGTTATTGTGTTAAAAAATTAATAATAATTTTAATTTACTTATCTTTAGATGCTACAGTAATAGAAATTTCATGTATATCAAATCTAAGCCAAGAAACTACTCCTGAACTACTAAGTCAAGAAATGACTCCTGAACTATCAAGTCAAGAATCTATAAATTCAGAGGTCAAGTTAATAATTTCTGGTCAAAATTTTTTTTTTTTTATTGTATTATTTTATTAGATTTTATTATTTATTTATCTGCTTTTAGACAAACATTTTAAAAGGAAAAAAAGTAAATTCAAAACTTTTAATGCTATTTAAAAGTCCAGTAATTGATTATAAAAAGACACAGCTTCATCATCAAAATCAATCATCGCAGGCTCAGCATCACCACCAAGACCAAGCATCGCAGGCTCAGCATTACTACCAAGACCAAGCATCGCAGGCTCAGCATCACTACCAAGAACAAGTGATGCAGGCTTAGTATCATCACCAAGCATCACAAGCAAAAAATAACCCTCAAAAAGTTCAGGCATCACAAGCAAAAACTAAGCACCATCACAAGCATATAGTTGAACATAGTGTTGGCAAATAACAAGGTCATAAAAATTTTTATAAAAATGATCATAAATGATATGTCATTTTAAATTGACAATGTTATTTTTCCTAAAAAAAAATTGTATTAAGTCTTGGCAAAATGACAAGTCATTAAAATTATTTTTATAAATGATATCATAAATGACAAATAAATAACAAAGGTTTATTATTATCTAGCACAATATATATGTAGTTAGATATTATTAGTGCAATAGATATGTAAGTAAAAAAATTAGTAGTTTATTTTACTGACAATCAATTTACTGA